CACTTTCAGTTGGCCTTTTGTGGCATCCCCTCTTGTTGTGTCCAGGTTGCTTGCAAAGTGAGCACGTGATTTGTCCACCTTCCTTTGTCATCTTTTCTAGCTATCCCACCTTCACTTTTCTGGTTTCATTATCACCCTTCCTCCTATTCACCTTCGGCCTACCCTGCTTACATCTAAATGGCAGTGGTTCTAGTGGCTCCCCATGATAATTTTCCCAGAATTTCTCACCATTACAAGGCATGATTGGTACATTGTATGCACGTTCATACTTAACCCTTTTGTGTCAAATTGATACAAATTCATCCGGGTCGAAGTTACCTAAACCTATCGCAGACAATGCATGAGGACATGGAATTCCTGTTAAATCCCATGCTCTACAACTACAATTTATCCCAATCAAATCCACAACAAATTTGTCATTCCAATGCCAAACATCATAATGGGTCCTACCATTCCATTCACATCTGCATTTGGCAGCTTCAATCTTATGTGCTTCTAATTTCTTCCTAATTCTGGGTGCTATATCTCCTTTCCATTTGTTGATTTCTTCTCTGTTCTTAGCCATCCTAACCATCACCTTAACCCTTATATATTCTAACAGTTGGATGATTGGCATATACCTGGCATCCATTATCCAATTGTTGAAGGTCTCATTCATGTTGTTATTCACGACATCACATTTACATGATGTGTCAAAGAATGCCTTGCACCACAACTCTGGTGGGATTGATTTTAAGGCATCATGACCTTCCACTGATAAATTTCTGATCTCCTCCATGTTTTTGTTGAATTTACCTTCATATGTTGACCTTGCAGCAATCCAGAATCTTTTCTTCAATAGTTTCCCTCTGAACATTTTTTGCCAATTGGCATATAAATGCCTGGCACACAATCTATGCCTAGCCTCGGGGAAAACTGTTTGTCTTGCATTAATCAACCCCTACCAAATTGTGTTTAATGAAAACAAATAAGGTTGATGATCGATAATAAAGTCAATTGAATTATACAATAAATAGCATTGATGAGTATAGTAACATAAAAATATTGATAATATAAATTAATTCATAATAGATTGTGCACACTTACAGGATGTTGGTCCAAAATGAACGTTAAATCTTGCCCAGTGTGATTTGATAGATCATCAGCTAGACATCTAAAAAAAAATGTCCATGAGCTGGTAGACTCTGAGTCAACAACAGCCCAAGCTATTGGGAACATTTGATTGTTCCCATCCCTTGCAACAGCTGCCAAAATAGTTCCCTTGAACATCCCCTTGAGGAAACAAGCATCTACTCCAATTACTGGTCTATAGCCCAGTAGAAAACCCTTCCTACATCCTTCTAGACACACATAGATTCTTTTAAACATAGGTTTTCCCTATGGAGTTGTGGGTGGCTCACTGTCAATTTGAACATTTGACTGAGGGGACAATCTCAACAGCTCTTCTGCATACCCTCTTAACTGAGCAAATTCCTTCGTGTGAGTTTCCTTCACCTCCTTCATAATCCTTTCCTTTTCTAGTTTACACTTATCCCTTGAAACATGAACCCCTAATTCTAAATGAGACAATCTCACTATCTCACTGATTCTGATCTGTGGATTTGCTATAATTCTATTCCTATGGTGTTCTGCAAGTACCCTCGACCCAACCATATTGGACTTCAAACCCCTAAAGCAAATGTGTTCCCTGCAATATGTCTTCACCTTAAAAGTCTTGTCATTTTTATCAAAACTGGCAAAGATACTCCAATTGCACTATTGACCAACACAGTGAATTCTCTGCCTGGTGGGGTCACTTTTAACAGGTTTCAACTTACAGCCTTTTTGAATCTGGTATTTAGCTATAGCCTCCTTAAACTGTGCTATATGCTCAAACCTCATCCCTACCTTAAACCAAACAGTAGTCCATGAAGGATTAAACCATAAATCACTACTTCTAGTACTTCTTACATCTTCTTCTTCTTCAAGTTCATGTTCATCTGCAACATTGTACTCACCTGAATCATCACTAGAAACCTCAAATTCATCTTCACTATTTTCAAAGCTAGAATCAGAACCCAAATCTCCATGGTCATCAGTTCCTATAGGAACTCTTTCACCCTCTTCATTAACTGTGGTAGGCGAGTCATGGACTGTGCCGCTTGGTCCAGCACCATCTGCATTTTTTCTTGCACTTACACTGGCTTTATGTTTCTTTTTATTGCGAATAGATTCAAGCACCTCCTCATCATCTACATCACTAGGCACAATATCAAGCAAATCCTCATCATCATGATCATTGTACTGTAGATCTTCTTGTTGGGCTGCATCACCTCCATGCAGTGCATATGTTTCATCAGCATCACCTTCAGCTGCTGTTTCTGGAGCTTCATGAAAATTTGGGGCTGGTTGTGAATTTTGTGTCACACGGCCTTCCCCACTATCCTCATCATCTGCATCATTATGCACAATATCAGGCAACTCCTCATCATCATGATCATTGTTCTGTAGATCTTCTTGTTGGGCTGCATCACCTCCATGCAGTGCATCTGTTTTATCAGCATCACCTTCAGCTGCTGTTTTTGGAGCTTCATGAAAATTTGGGGCTGGTTGTGAATTTTGTGTCACACAACCTTCCCTAATGTCCATTGTACCTTCATCAACTGGTTCTTGCATAACAGTGCCACCTTCAAGCAAATCTAAAATATCTGGCTCATCACAGACATGCTCAACATACACATCTATAATTCCC